TCACTCCTTCCACATTATTCCCCAGCCTCTCGAAAACATATGGGGAATGTTGGGATTTTTCACCAGATCCCAACCTTGCTTTCTTACTGGCTTTCTCTCCACTAGTGCTGGAACGCCTTCTCTTACTCTGGTTAAGTTGGAGATCATCATTACCTTGACTGTCCATTACCCGCACAGGAGTTTCAATCACTCTTCCCGTAGGTCTCCACGTCTGTTGGGACTGACTCTCTGATTTACGTCCCTGCATCCCATTCCAGTTTAAGCGATCCTTAACACTCTTTGTTCTTGGACCTGGTTCAGATTGGGATGTAAATCTACTCTTCTTCTGTGATGTGGACTGCCTAGAAGAGCTCACATCCACTTCCTTCCCTTTCCCCTTCCCTTTCACCTTTACTGGACCCTTTCTCTTCTCTGATTTTGGTCCTCCTTCAACTGGTTGCTCCACCACTTGATAGGAGCAGCTCGACTGGTCATGGGTGAGTCTCTTACAAAGAAAGCACACCTTCAGCAATTTTTCATACGTCAGTTCTATCTGAGCCACTTCTCCATTCCTAAAGCTTGCCGTCTTGACAAATTGCAATGGCTCATCAGCACTAATCCAGACCCTCGCACGCACATACTCCAGAGACGGGGAATTTTTGGCATGTAACTCAACAGCATCAACCTTCCCTAATGGGCTAACATTACTGTCAACCGTTTGCTTTTTTAACCAGTGAATGGGGATTCCTTTGATGCGTACCCAGAACAGAATCCTCTTCAAGAAATCTGGCCCTGGATTTGGTTTCCATTGATCAGTGGTAACTATCCATCCATTTACAAACCAAGGGCCTCTGTATAGAACGTGGTACAAATCCCCTTCACTTTCAAAGATAAACTGTACTCGATCGTCCCCCACACCTCTTCCCCTAACCCTATCCTCCATTCCCCAAATAGGAGGTAAAGCTTTAACCAAGCCACCGACTTTGTGAGCCGTCGGGTTGAGGCATCTCACTATCACACTCATGGCATTTTCTTCAATGAGATCGTCGTTTTCCAGATCTGGGATCTCTACCACATCTCCTTCTCCAAGTAGGTCTAACTCCTTCAGCTCCTCCATTAGAGACAGTTCTTTCTTCTTGCGAGGTCGATTCATCTTGGGATAAAATTGGATGCACTTAGAGAATCTCACGGAGCAAGGAGACAGGACAAAAAGAAGCCACAAAAGCTTAATGAACAGCAAGACAAAGAACTCTTCAATCGCTGACTGAAATCTAGGGTTCTATTGGAGTAGATCTGAAAATCGCACTTTTTTCGCCTCTAGACTCAAAGCCCTAGCCGCCTCCATGCTACCTAGAAGAAATTTAATTTTAGTACTTATATAGTATATTGGAAACATCTTGCTCTTTGTGAATTTTTTTGACGATAATATATTTTGTGTGCTATTTTGATATTATCATCTAAATTATGGTTCATCAAATAATTGCAGTCAGTGAGCAAAATAACATATTATAGTTTTACATGTGATTTTGAAGGAAAAATCTTGGACTATTTTATCATCTAATCATCTATGAGGAGGATTCGTGTTTCGATGGTTGGCCGTGGGCATCTTCGATTGGTTCTTTCAGAGACTCTCTTGGAATTAGGATTTCTGTTTTGTTTTGGTAGTGTCCTGTTGGTCGAGTTTTCTCGTTTTTGTGTCGTGAGATATGTCTCCTATCATTATATCTCTTTGCCTCATCGTATTAGTCTTTTGCTTCCCTTGTTTGAGCTTAGTTTCTGGGGAAATCTTGTCTTCCGCCGGCTTAAGAGTTTGTTCCAACATGTATTTCACCTTGTATCCTTCTTTGATGATTATAATAAAACTATATGATAAAAAAAAAAAAAAGAATTTCCACCCAAACTCACATACCTTGCACTCTCTTGATATCCAGAACAAACCTTTAGTCCATTTCAATTTAAAAAGTATCTCTCCGTTTCAAAAGAGGATTGAAGCCGAAGTACAAAAACAATCAATCTTCTTATACTACTAGTAGGCCACCATTCCTTTAATATTAGTTGTTCAATTCTTACACAAACATTATTATACAATCAATTTTTGAAAGCCGAACTATATTGGGTTTCATTGATACATTCCTTAACTATTGAAAAAAAGTCTTTTAACGAACATAAACTTTACATATACAACATTCTACGTAGAAAATTTAAAAAGAAACAACTTCCTTTTAATTTTAAAGGAAATTTTTTAAGAAAAACAATCATAACCAGTCTGAAAATAGTGTTTATTTTTATATTTATATTTTGACCGAAGTTTTATTGTAGTTTTTGAATGTATTATTAAATTATAATCAAAATAAAAAATAAACGTTTTTACAACAAAATGTTTATATGTTTAAAAAAGAATTTGAAAAACTTAAATGTTGAGAATGCTTAAAAAACTCTGAAATTTAACCCCGAACAAGGAGCTATAGTTGATACGCCTCATCTTACCGTCTTTATTCGGATCGTTGAAATCTGGTTTCTGAGTTTTTATTTTTACAGTAATCATTTATGCAGGCCTGTAATATAATACTGCAAATCTCAAATTCACAACCAGCCAATTCATATATCATCGTCATACATACGTGTTATCCTTCCAATTATGGCCTTCTGTATATGATAAAATAATATAAACTCCAATCAAAAGGTCAAGAACAAAACAAATAATTGACAAAAAAAAGATATATGGATAATGGACTTTTGGATATTGTAGCCAATTCCATACGGATACGGAGCCCTACGTTTCCACATTAATATATTTCGGATATAAAAAAAAAACGCATTTTAAAAACTTACTGAAAATTGTCAATCAGCCATCGTCATGTGGGGTAGAATAAAACAAGCACTCCTTTCAAGTTGATACTTTGTTTTAATCAAACGTCATGATCCCACTAGTAATCTTCCATTTAAACGTCACTTAATAACGTAATTAAGTCAATATAGTTTTTTTTTTTTTTTTTTTTTTGTAAACCTAAGTCAATATAGTTTAAAATTTAAATTCTTGGGCATAAATTTAATCTAATCTAATCTTCAAATTATGTTGATAATCCCCGCTCGCTTCATGCAGAATTTTTAATCACTATTTTAAACTATGAAGTACCTTTAGTGGTTTGAAGTTTTATTTATTCTAGTTAACAAAAGAATAAAAAATAGTTTTCTTCTTTATTTTTTATCCTGTCTACGTTGTAATAAAACTATTAATGTATGAATTATGACTAGATTGCCTTGATAAAAAGGTAAAACTATAAAAGCACAAGATTTTCTCTTCTCCCACCTAACTTTTGGATTTTTCTGTTGTTTTTCCACAAGGAAAACCTATTTTTCTTAGTTTAATGGATGATAAATTGTTTTCTTTTGCCAAAAAATATCACAATATAATGGCCAACCATGATAAAAATAACTGAAAATTAAAGATGATTAGCTAATTAAAAGCCATTTGAGCACCAAAAAAATAATCTATATATATACATCATGTATTTGTAAATAATTACGATTATATGGATTTGGTTACGAGAAAACATTTATTCAAAACGTAACATAATTATTAATGAATCATATGTTTAATGTGTATTATTCACGTGGTTTGTTCGTCTGGTCACTTAGTTACGTGAAATTCATTTTATATGCATACTTGTTGGAATTCGATACGTACTATTTTTAAGCATATATATAGATGCCATTATTCAATACCAGTGATGATTTTGCCGTGTTCCTACCAATCGTTATGGATGAGGATATATATCATCCACTTACGAGTAAATTAAAAAGAAGCAAAAAACTATTATTGGTTTATCTTAAACCGTTTCATGTAATTTTCATAAGATTCGCCTGAATCGAATCTCATCAAATTAAACCACTTTTAAAATATAAAAATTAAGTAGACAAACTAAACATAGCACTCGTAAATTATAATTAATACAAGGAGCAACATTATCCAGTGTTCTTATATGGGATCTGCGGGAATATATGCTTATGTTCTGGAAAAATAAGGGAGTAATTCAATTTTATAAAATCAAAAACAGCTCTAAAATCAATGTATCAAATTCAGATCCACATGAAGGTTATCGAATAATCAAAATTATCTTTCAATTAGTACAGTAGTACTAGTATTAAATATCTTGTAGGTTTGGCAGAAAAGGAGAAAAGTTTATTATGTAGGTTCAACTTTTGAGGAATCTAAGAAATATACCGGACCCAACTTAAGATATTTTTATTAATTGTTTCAAAATAAGACAAAAATAAGTGACGTGTAATACTAGAAAATAAAACCAATTGTACATTTAAATATTTAAATGGCCAAATTTGATAGATTAATTAACTTATAAAATAATTAAATTTTTCATTGGTTGAATAGTTGAAACAAAAATTAAGAAATTAATTAATAGATGGATAAAATAGTTTATTTAAATATGATTTTCAAAATTAACATTGATGATATATAAAAAATTTGGCTACTCTAAATTTCACAACGTAAGTACTGAAAAAGAGGTGTTAAAAATGAAAATGTCTACATATGATAAGTGTCTCGTGAATCTCGCTTTATTTTTGCAAAATTTTCGTTTGTTTGTAAATAATCACTAAATTGTTGTTTTTATTTATTTTTGTTTGGCGTCAGACAAAAAGAATTTAGAATTTAAAATTTAGAATTTACGGTAAGTATGAAACTTTAAGATACATAAACATGAAAAAAGAAAATTGTTAATATGCAAATGTACGGTTAGATATTTTCTAAGTGACGTAATAAGTAAACAGATTTTCATACCATGATCACTTGTTTAACCACAATTTTCATTACAAGTAAAAATATATGTTGCTTTCCAAAAATATCGTAACACAAAAAGGAGGCAAAAATAATCATTTTATAGGAATTTTGGGAATAGAATTAAAAAGAAAATTTAAAAGGCCATTTTTCATTATTCACTTTATTAAATTTGTTTAACTCTGCAACAAGTGTCGTCATCAGTCGTTTTAAAACCCCCCTTGTATCTTCCTTTTACCAAATCCGCCATTGAAGAAGAAGAAGAGAGAGAGAGAGAGAAGAGAACTACTCAGATATAAAAACCCTAGATTTCTTCTCTAAAACCCACATCGAATCTCAACTCAGAACCAACAATGCTCCAACCTTTCTCGAGAACTTTCTTGGTTTAGGAATCCTTGTTGAATCAGAGAGAAAGCATCCATTTTTTCATCATTGCTTGCTTGCTTGCTATGGAATTGGGTAAATCTCGATTCTATTTGTGCAATTGCTTTTCTCCTGTTAGGTTTTCCGATTATTCTTTAGCTGGAAGTGATTATCCAGACGCCATATCCATGAATTTGATTCCCAAACCTTCTTCTTCTATTGTTTCTTCTTGTATCATCATCTCTGAAGATTCTTCGTATCTTTCGATTCGATGCTTATAGACTTCAATCTCTCTTCCAAATCTTGAAACGATTTTCTTCCAAAAATCTCCCTTTTCTCTCTCCCAATCACTCAAACAATGTTGTGTGCATCATCTTCGTTTGCTCTTTTGGGTCCTGCTTCTTCAGCTATGGCTTCTTCACCAGTTTCCAGATTTCTTGGATTTGGTCATCATACTACTCTCAGGTGATTTACTAAAAATCTCTTCACTTATGCTTATAGTTTGTATTGAAACATGTTTAGAAATTGGGATTTTATTAAGGTTTATGTGCTTTAACGATCATCAGGTATGATCTTGATCAACGTCGTCGTCGTTGTTCTGGACTTGAAAAGAAGATCCCTTTTCCTCGGAATAGGACTGCCTCAGCTTCTGCTTATCCTCTCTTTCTCAGTCAGCTTAATAAAGACTCACCACCAAGACCCAAAAATTACCAAGAGGTTCAGATTTGTAATCTTGAATCTGAAAACATGATTGTTGGTTTTGGTTTTGGTTTTCATTAGGTTTTCTCATGTTACTGTTTATTGATTTACTTTGTTTACAGGTCACTAAGTCAGCCCGGCAAATGTTTGCTCGAGAAATCTCTATCCAATCGAAAGACAATGAAATTTCGATTGCAAAGGTATATAAGAAATTTCTCTTGTTAAGGTATAATCTCTGACTCTTGGTGACTTGCTTCAGACCATTATTGAACATGATATGACTATGGGTTTGTTTGACCTTCTTAGAGAGTTTTCTATTATTAGGTCTGATGCTTTTTTGGTAAAAACACGTTTGGTGAAGTTTCCATTGGGTCATATCTTTGAAACTTTTGCTCATTTATTTATGGAAATGGACTCACAGGTTCTTTTCTACATTGCTGCTGAAGATGAAGCCTTCTTGGCTATAAACCGAGAGAGGGATGCTCAGTCACTCATGAAAGAGAGGGAAAGTGTCCAAGATCAGTCTGATCCGAGTGAGACAGATTCTGAGGAGCTATTGCAGTTAGATGGAAAGAGTATATCTGAGTGGGTGAGTGAAATAGATGCAATTTCCAAAGATGTAGAGGCAGAATTAGTCTCACGAGATATCGGCTGCCACTTGGTTCAAGTTCTTGAAGCTGTAAATACAGTTCTCTTCGATCTGAGAGGCTTCAAGAGGACATCTATTACTTTAGACCCGGAGAATTCCTACCTTCACTCTGTACTTAACTGTAGATGCAGCACTGGTAAAAGTTTCCTCTTTATTAGGCTTTCTCAAAATGAGTTTCCCCTTTTTCTCATTTGTTGTCCCTAATCTAGTATGGATTTTGTTTTCTTCCATGTGCAGCATTTCTGATTAGTGTAATATACATTGAAGTTTGTAAGCGCCTCAATGTGCCAATTGTTGGATCTCCAGTTGGGGAAGATTTTCTGATTTGGCCTAAAACAGAGTATCCTGAGGAACTCTTTAAAGCCACTTCAGGACAGAGCTTGTTCTCTATTGTCAATGGAAGTTGCGTTGATGATCCTGGATCAATGGCATCAGACTTAACCGCAAAATCACTTCAAGACCTTGACATCGCAACAAATAGAGACATTATAGGGATTGCTCTTGCCAATTTGATTGTAAGTCCTTATCACTTATTAACTAAACTCCAAAAGATTTCATATTGAAAGAATCTATATATTGTGTCTTTTGATCATTTTCAGAGGCTTCACTGGAGACGTGCTTCGAAGTCATCCCGTGGACTAATGCTGACTTCTCCTCTTAGTCAACTTAACAACATCAGTAGTTCTAATTTCCCATTGTTGCGGCCTCAAGATCTTAGGTAAAAACTTTTTAAAAAACAAAGATCTTACAAATCCTTTAATTATCTCTGCCTCACATTCAGTTTCTGCTGAACATAGGTTGGCTATTGCGGCTGCAGAAAGGTTGTTGATTTTGCAACCTCATAACTGGGCACTTCGCAGAGACCTTGGTATGATGCTGTACTACGACAGGTATAGTAAACTTAGATATAAATCCTTACATTTTTTGTTGCTTGTCCCGCGGTTCTGTGAGTATTGGTCGGTTTAGTTTGATCAAATATAAGATCTTGAATTGTTGAGATATGGTTTATTGTGGAGCAGGCAATATGGAGAGGCGGTACAAGAGCTGAGCATATGTATGGCCTTTGCTCCTCCTGAAGAAGAAGCTGTGTTGGAGCCATTTGTAGAGAGACTTCATCTACTTCGTCTCATATCTTCATTGAAGCCTCTTGGCTCTGATCGCTTGACCGTTCCTTGACGTCTCTCTCTCTCTCTCTCTCTCTCTCTCTCTCTCTCTCTCTACTCCATTTGTAAATTCACTCTCTTTCTTTCTCGGTGTCTCTGTTGTGTTTGAAGAACCTTTGTAGTAGGAGACTTGGAGCTTTGTTGTTTGTTGTAGTAACTCTACTGTTGTTTTCTGATCAGATCTAATGGATTTGGGCCTCCAGCTAAATTTTGACTTTCCCGTGAATCCATATTTCAATGTTTTATCCCTTTGGGCCTCAACAGCTAAGCTTATATAAGACGAGCCGATTCGATCATGGTTTTAGTGACAAGTTAAGAACCAAGTAAACCGAATGAGATTTGGATTTTTGGAAATGATTTTTTCGGTTCAAGTCATTCAATTATCCAAACACGATAATCTTGCTGAATTCTAAAACTTTTGTTCTGTCTGTTTAAAGAAGATTGGTCCCTACCAAAAAAAGGAAAAAAATAGCTAAGAGGATTGGTTGGGACTTTTAAAGCCAAAGAAAAAAAAAAAGAACTACAGTTTTAAATTTTTAATCAATCAGACTTAAATCACATAAAAATTAATTTCAATAGATAAGCTTGTATTAGTTTAGTTTGAAAAATAAAAGTAATAGAGAGTTCGATATTATCTAGAAGATCACAATTCACAACGTAGGAATAAACACATAAAAATGAACTGTGCATGCATAACCCCAAAGAGTGGCAATTTCAATTTCCAAATATGCAACACTTGTACCATTACATGTCATTCTCTCTTTCATATTTTTGATGATTATCCACTTTCATAAGTTTTTCGAAATTAATTTGTAGTCAAGAATAGTAATCATAAATATACAAAAAAAACAAAAATTTCCCCGACCAAAGTGACGGAAAAAAACGACTAAATGTTTTATTCCTCCTTTAATATAACGCGACATTATAGTTTGGTATTAGTAGTTTTGTATCCTTCTCACAATCACAATTCTTGGTGTAAGAAACATTATTCTTTCTATTTAACATGTTGTAGTTTCCACATTTGTGGGTGCTGAAATTCCGAGCAATGTCTGTCACTCGTGGCCTCGTATGCCTAATCGAGCTTACTTTTTCATCAACAACTACGTACAGACCAAGAATCCCATTTCACGTTCTTTTTTTTTTTTTGATAAATATATTTTTGTTGTTATCGCTAAATCATTGTAGTAGCTAGAATGCCCCATACACGGTTTTTGAAAATGACTCAAATATGTAAGAAATGTAAGAAACATAAAATTTAACAAAATTAAAGAATATCTTAACTAATACTTTGAAAAAAAAAAAAAAAAAACTGATATTTGACAAACAAACTACAAAATGTAGGTGAACCAAAAAAAAACGATCAAATTTAATTAAATACTATATATTATGACTAATGGCCATTATGTTTATCCTAGTTTTTTTTTCATTTTTGTTTGTCAACAACTCTATAATACTGAAGTGGCTTAAAGAACGCAGGACGGGAAACATTGTTCACGAACGAGACAATATATATGAATTCACTATACTTTGATGAAACTATCTTTAAAAACTTACAAATAATATACAAATTCAAATTATTTTGATGAAACTATCAGATATTAATTTTGTCAAATTAAGTTGATGAATTGTTTTGTAGCACATAAAATACAAGATAATTCCTCTGATATTTAGGAAAATAATGTCATCGTATGTGAAAATAACAAAACAGAAAAACCGATATTTGTAGATTAGAACTTCACATAAACTACCAACGAACCAAAGGATAATAGTAGTTTCACATCAAAAATAAAAAAAAATCTGAGTTTCAAAAATACACAACTATTGTTGAATTTTGATTTTCATAATTTAATAAATAGCCCCACACAACACACTCATATTCCTTCACAGCCTTAAACGTGGAGGCAAAGAAAGTAAAAAACAAACACACAGCAATGGACTCTGTTTCTTCTTCTCCCTTCATCTCCTCCACATTCTCTCTTCACCACTCTCTTCTTCGCCGCCGATCTTCCTCTCCTCTCCTCCTCCGTATCAACTCCGCAGTCGTCGAAGAACGTACTCCGATCTCAAACCCAAGCGACAACAATGATCGTCGTAACAAACCTAAAAAACTCCACAACCGAACCAATCACACCACAGTCTCATATCCGGCGAAACCCCGACCAGAAATGACTCTCGCAACAGCTCTCTTCACCACCGTCGAAGATGTAATCAACACGTTCATCGATCCACCGTCACGTCCGTCCGTCGATCCAAAACACGTTCTCTCCGATAACTTCGCGCCTGTTCTCGACGAGCTTCCTCCAACAGACTGTGAAATCATCCACGGTTCTCTTCCGCCGTCACTTAACGGTGCTTACATCCGTAACGGTCCAAATCCACAGTTTCTCCCCCGTGGTCCTTACCATCTCTTTGACGGCGACGGTATGCTTCACGCGATTCGAATCAATAATGGTAAAGCCACTCTCTGTAGCAGATACGTCAAGACTTATAAGTACAACGTCGAGAAACAAACCGGAGCTCCGGTTATGCCTAACGTGTTTTCCGGATTTAACGGTGTAACGGCGTCAGTAGCTCGTGGAGCTTTAACGGCGGTTAGAGTTTTAACCGGACAGTATAATCCGGTTAACGGCATTGGTTTAGCGAATACGAGTCTAGCTTTCTTCTGTAACCGTCTCTTCGCTTTAGGAGAATCTGATTTACCCTACGTCGTCCGATTAACGGATTCTGGAGATATAGAAACGATCGGACGGTACGATTTCGACGGGAAATTAGCGATGAGTATGACAGCTCATCCCAAAACCGATCCAATAACCGGAGAGACTTTCGCTTTCCGGTACGGTCCTGTTCCACCGTTTTTAACGTTTTTCCGGTTTGATTCTGCCGGGAAAAAACAAAGAGACGTTCCGATATTCTCGATGACGTCTCCGTCGTTTCTCCATGACTTCGCGATCACGAAACGTCACGCGATTTTCGCAGAGATTCAGATTGGGATGAGGATGAATCCGATGGATTTGATGTTTGAAGGTGGTTCTCCGGTTGGTACTGATAACGGAAAAACACCGAGGCTTGGAGTGATTCCAAAGTACGCCGGAGATGAATCGGAGATGAAATGGTTCGAAGTTCCTGGATTTAATATCATTCACGCCATTAATGCTTGGGATGAAGACGATGGAAACTCCGTCGTTTTGATCGCTCCGAATATTATGTCGATTGAACATACTTTAGAGAGGATGGATTTGGTTCACGCTTTGGTGGAGAAGGTGAAGATCGATCTCGTCACCGGAATTGTGACACGTCATCCGATTTCAGCGAGGAATCTCGATTTCGCGGTTATTAATCCGGCGTTTCTTGGGAGACAGAGCAGGTACGTTTACGCGGCGATTGGAGATCCGATGCCAAAAATCTCCGGAGTGGTGAAGCTTGATGTGTCTAAAGGAGATCGGGATGATTGTACGGTGGCGCGTAGAATGTACGGTAAAGGTTGTTACGGTGGTGAACCGTTTTTCGTAGCTAGGGATCCTGGGAATCCGGAGGCGGAGGAGGATGATGGTTACGTGGTGACGTATGTTCACGATGAAGTGACTGGAGAATCGAACTTTCTGGTGATGGACGCGAAATCGCCGGAGCTTGAAATCGTCGCCGCCGTGAGGCTACCGCGAAGGGTTCCGTACGGATTCCATGGGTTATTTGTGAAGGAGAGTGACCTAACTATAGGTAACTGCAATAGTTAGTGGAATAATTAAGTTCTTAATTACGTTCCGTACAACAAAACAAAACGCATAGTGTTGTTGCATTTATACATTAAAGTCTACATTAGTTTGGTGGTGGTCGATGTATATAAAACATACCAAAGCTTATAAATATTATTTTTTCTTTCAAATATTCTGCTTCTGTTCTTGGCTACAAATCTTATAAATATTCATTCTATAATTTCATTCCGAGAGTTATCAGATCTTATAAAACCTAACAACTATATTTTTATATTTCATATTATCTTTAAAAGAACAAAACTGGAATATGTATATTGTATTGAAAATACAAATATGAAAAATCTAGGTTTTAATTACTCGAATATGACAATGTGGCATGTACCAATGTTGTTTCTTAAGCATAAAAACTGAATACAATGTTCGTGATATAATAAAATTATGAAACACCTATCAGTCGAAATATGAAAGATCAGTTAATGGATAAAGCAAATTAATGCACAAAAAAAGGATTTGTGGTTTAGATAAATAAATTAGGAACGTGAAAAAGATTGTGTTTTAGTGATGGGACCAACGAAACATCATTATTTTGAGCAAAACATGAGGTCTGGATATGGATATGGCCCAACGTCATTTATAGCAAATACAACGACCTTTAAAAATGCAACCTCTTAAAACAAGTAGTAGTATTATGCAAACCTTGAAATTATTGTGAATGATTTTGTTGGGTGGAGTGGGATCAAAGCAAACGAGTGGCCAAAGCAATAAACGAACGAGAGTGACCGATACGGAGAGTAACACTGACATAGATGTTGATTTATCCTTTCGTTTTGAGACCAAAGGATGCAATTATTTACATTTATTTAAAGAAATGTCTGTCCAAATTTTGTGATCAAGTTTCACGTGATGGTTGAGACTTATGAAAAAAACAATATTTGACATTTATGGCAATGAAAACTATTGAGACAGACTTGTTTGTTTCGTCACATATTTCGAATCGATCCGACCAAATGTTTTACTAGGTAATCGAGTCTTAAGAACCAATTACCTATCCTCTAGATCTATTTTCGCTAGACCAGTTAGGCAAAAAAAGTTTAACGATCGATGCGACTAAAAACAAGAAGCAATCTGTACAAATTGACCAAACCTATTGAAATAGAGATCATTAGGATAAACATTTTCATTAGGTTATCATATTTTATGAACTGAACAGTGAACCCATTACCACAAGTTAAACATTAGGAGTGGTTTAATCAATCTAAGCATTCGACCAATATACAAAAATCTAAACCATATATTTGAAATATGATCCATAGGAAGATAAAGTCATTGTTCAGGTGATAGTTACTATGATTGCTCTGTTTATCTAAATGCCAACCACACACAATGGTCCCCAAAGGATTTGAGCTCTACAATCTAACATAAGGAAATTGTTGATATTAGATATTTTCCAATTTCTATGGTAAATGACAATGACACTTTTAGCCTCGAATGTTGCAATGAAATGAAGTCCAAGCACATAATAGATTCTACTTTTTGTCTTCCTTTAGATATGATGATAAGAATTACGAAGCAAGGAGCAGAAAATAAGCACGTACAGGGTTTATTCTCAATCTGGGAGTCGATTCTTCCCTTTGTAGCTGCTCAAAACCCAAGAAACTTTGGACCGGCTCTGTAAAAAGAAAGAATTTGGAGAAATACAAGAAGGGTAAAGAGGAAGAGAGTGATAGATAGTTGAACTGAGGTTAAATTAGTAATCATATATAAGTATATGGTATAAAAAGAATTACATGTCAACTGAAACAAGGAAATTTTGCTCATGAAATTTTCCCCTTTTTTTTTTTATACTATGATTCTCATGACCAAAAAAAAAGAGAAAAATTAGGAGGGTGTGGAAGTGACAAAAGCCGTACCAAAAAATTCTTCTCCTACATCTTGAGCATGTGTGAATCAGCGAGTGACGAACTAAGATCTTCTCGAGATTGCGATCTCCGGCTTTGGAGACGCATTTGACTCCTGCGAGGGGAGGACCAGAAGGAACTAGTGCTGTCATATTGCATATCCCCTAAGCTATCAGAAGAACAACTATGCATAACGCAGCTGCTCGATGAGTACAATGAAGAAGATTCCATGAGCTGTATGCTGCTTCCAAAACTAAATGGCCTACGCGGTGATCCCCGAACTGTTGGACTCAATGGTGTCTTTACCCCTGAAAGAAAAAAAAAAAAAAAAAAAAACTATTAAGACTATATATCTTCCCAGAAAAAAAGACACAAGATAGACAATGTTAACAACTGAGAATAAAGACAATGTGAAGAACTGGCCATAACTCAAGATTATGCATAGTGAGTTACCTGTACTCATAGGACTCCATCGCTGGAATCTGAAGGGAGACGGGATATTAAGAACAGACGAAGCTGAGGCGCTATTGTGTCTAAAAAGTGGGAGATACGACTTTCTAAAGAATCTTGGCAAACAATTGCTGACGCGTGATAGTGCACAGAGAAGCAGAAGAAATGAGAAGAGCAAGATAGATATAAGGGCAATTGGGTTTATTTTCATGCTCAGAATCTCATAGCTCTTTAGTCCCAATGTAGAAGATAAAGCCTTCCCTGCTTCCAAAAGAGCTACTCCAAGTGTCCAAGTTATACTCCCAGACCCAATTATGATTTGCTTATCTGTAATATATAAACCTTCGCGTAACAAGGAGACTATGTATGGCGCTCTAAAGCAGTACTGTTCAATGAAGGGTTGTGGAGAAACACTGGTTCTGGCTACTTGCCAAGCCTTTTCACAAAATTCCCTACCCTTTTCCAAGACATCATCAAGGGAAGCTTCAGCACTTAAGTTGAAAAAACGGTACACCACGAAGAATCCGGATACAGCATAGAACTGACCATGAGGACGAGGGTAACCATCAGGAAGAGCACAAGGCTGCAAATCACAATCAACTCCATGTTTTGTGTTTGACCATTCAGAGCTATTAACAGCATTTTTTGCCAGTGCGCTGCACTCTCCCCAATTTGGAGCACCAACGAGCTTAATAGGAACTCCTGACTTCCCTTTCTTACCTCCTTGGACACTGGAAGCACATTGAGAACATATGTACTGTCCATTGTATCCAGAATTTAAGCAAGGATGTTTCATTTCCAATTTTCCTTCAATCAAATCAGATTTATTGACATTTGGTAGCCTCTTTAAAAGATGAACAACAGACCTTTCAAACGCATCATTAAGACCATATCCGGCAAGAGAATATGCACTAAGATGATGGTTAACAGACCCGATTCTGAGATTTAGGTTGGTCTCATTATGTGTCCGCTCCTCATTCTCAAAGGTTACCTGCAATGATGAGCCACCTAAGTCAAGGGCACCAAATGTTGCCTTCTTTGGTAGGGCTCCCAACATGCTTGTTTGGTAGTTAAGGGCGGTCCATCCAAAATAAGCTTCCTCTGTACCACTGATGATCTTAACCCACTCCCTCCGGCAAGTGAAGGGAGACTTCGCTAGTATAGACCACACATTACCTAAAATCCAGCTTGAATCAGAAGGACGAAGCCTCCGGACGCCCGCTGTTGCATAAACAAAGAGAGATGTGGTTCTATGAGCATGCTTCGGGATTTGCTTCTCTGCCCACTGAATAAGGGGTTTTATCGCAGTTTTCAGGCCTGTTCTGTTGTTGACAAGCTTATCAAACCCAGGTTCTGTCTCCATCCGATCATAAGCACGACCCTTACTCTTTCTAGAAATACCTTCTGTCAAAGATTTCATAACAATGGGGAGACTACTATCTTTCTTGTAGTTTATAGAAGCCTGATAAACATATGCACGAGTCCCAGTACTTCCACAGTCGAACACAACATAATATCTTGATGCTCCCCGTGACCAGTTTGTATAAATATACATGGAGGCTATATACACCAGAAAAGCAAACAAAAACAGGCACAAAACAATCATAACCGCGCGGATCCATTTACGGCGTGTAGATGGATTGGTCCCATTCGGGACACTCCCCTTTTCCTTGGAAAAACTTGATCCATTTAGTCCCCATGATATAGTTTGTCGTTTAGCGCTTAAATCAGCTTCCCGAGCAAGAATGGATTCTTCAGGATCAAACCCATGATATGAAGAAAAATCTTGGAGAGACGCTGAATGTTTCAAACTATTCTTTCGTCCACCATTCCCAATACTGATGGAATCCGCCGCTGAAGTTCCTACATCCGGTGATGATCCAGTAGGCATATACGGAACAGATGATTGCGAACCCGCTGAAAATCGACTCGATGCAGCAGTAAAAAGTTCAGTAATCCTACCAAAAACCATGTCTCTTGCCTACATAAACTTCACACTGCTTTACTTAAAAGAAAACTAACAAACTCAACCCAACCTTCTCCGTTGTCTTTAGAATCAAATGCAGAAGCACAACAAACTCTTCAGATTCTTCATTCTTCTGCAGAAAATGTTAACTACAAAAATCAAATCAAATGCATTCGACACGAAAATAAACAATCTATGTGCTCAATCAAAAATCTAAGAAGAGAGCTTGAGTGATTCACAAATCAATAAACACAATCACAACAGCGATCTGTAGTTAAATCGACATTGCGATAACAACACAACGACTCAATCATAAAATTGAAAAGCTAGGGTACAATACCAGAAACACGCATTGGCATAGAACGAAGAACAAACTTCAACCACCGTCAAAGCTTCATCAGCACTTAGATCTCGTATCTCGCTCTGCGTCTAAGAAGCATGAGTTAATAAACGAATCGTCTTCTTCGTATAAGAAAAATCGAGAATCTCAAGCAGATCTGATGAGTATCGGGGCTAAAACCACACGACTCAGACCAGAGGAAGACGAAGACGTTGGAGAGATCCGTTTTGTGAAGAAAAGACCTCTTTGCCTTTTTGTCCTCTGATTTCTTTTTCTCTCTTCTAACAGAAAACGTCTTGCTCAATTTTCAATTTCTTGGGGAAAATTAAGAATATTTGAAAACGTTTGGGGTTGAAACGTAAATGAAATAAGTTTCTTTCTTTCTTTCTTCATAATCTAAAAAATTCGGCTATTTGTTGGTAAGAAAAATGCTAATGGCGCCGATATTAAAATGCTAATGGTGTGTCGTCGACAACATTTATCAAAACTGTTGAATATCTTTACAATATTGTAACCCATGTTTTTTTTTTGGTTGCCAAAAAAAAGGAAAAAAGTTCCACGTTTTTTTTTTCCTCGAAAAAGTGATCTAAATTGGGATAAAACCAACTTCTTTTTTGAATTCGTACATTTGCCACTATTGTTATGTGTTCTTACCAAATAAGCCACAGCTTTTTCTTCGATTGCTTTTTCCAACTTTATGAGATCCTCCTTAAACCTAAGATTTTACAAAAAGTTATAACTGTATATCATATAGTGTAGACAATATATATCTTGCACAGAATGTTATCTATTGCTAAAAAAAATTCAAAGGTCAGATAAAATGTTAGATGATCTAAAACGAATACGAATTAGATGTATATTTCAAGATTAAATGGAGCAACACTGTGAATCTGTGATTAATATTAAGGTAATCAAAGAAGATATTAATAAGAGATGAAAGTTAACAAAATGTATAATAGCTGTAATGGGTTCTGGTCTCAATCTTAACTTCTTTTGGTTTCTTTAGTCTGCAGATTTCACAGAGGAACTGGGTAATCCAGAAAACAACTGTCCTAGTCTGTTAACTGTCCCATTAAATATCAGAGGCTCTGAGGTTTTTAGACCATGAGACGCAATCCCAATCCCGGAACCCGCTGTTTTTCGCTCTCTAAACGATGCCCAAGTGACCATATAGAGTCCTAGAATGATGAAGAATCCACCCACAACACTGCACGGAGGAAAAGAAACCGAAAGTATTAAACTTGGAAGTGAGAATGTGGATGGTTAAAAAAGATTCCAGAAAATGTATTTAACCTTCCGAGATAAATAGGGCTACCGAGAAAGATTCTCGATAGGAAAGCTGATGCAGCGGGCTGAAGAGGATTGTAGAGAGCAACCAAGGCAGGACCAATAATCTTATTGGACCAAGTCAAGAGTCCATAGTTTAGTGCTGACGCGATAACTCCCTAGAGAGAAGGAAAACCAGATGAATTGTGTCAATGATTACGCGAGAAACATGTGACGTGAGTAGATGAAAAAAAACCTTGATGCAACTTACTGCATATATAACTGCAAGAACCTCAGATTGTGTTAGCCTCCAATCCAATGGCTCCTTTACCATAAAGAAAGCTGTTGTGCACATTAGTACTGTACCAAAGAAGTATGATAATGCAGCAACAGAAAGATTTGCCGGATACTTCTTCAAAAGTGGCGCCTGGAGAGTTTCCATTACATCCACATTAAAAGACACATGCACAGAGGTTAGTAGGCTGCAGTTTATGCGTTGGTCTAAACCAAACCAAAGAAACCGAAACAATGAAGAGATCTACCTGAATGGCAAGAAAAGTAGCCATACACATGCAGTTTCCAATCAAGCATAAAACTCCAATGTGCCATGTCTCAAATCCAAGATCGAGAAAACCAGAGACTAACCACCCAGTAGGCTCAGGTTGACCTTTAGCACTGATTTCATTGTTCATCGCAAAGTCTGCATCTTTATCTCCTAACAAGGCCGGACCTCGAAATAGAACCATAAAGACAGCACCCATAACACACACAAGTGTGCCTCCAACCTTAGTTTGACCTTCGATTCTCAACAAATTCACTCTTTCTGTACTGCATACAAAGTAGGAGACATCAAAAAAACCAAAAGTGAAGGCACATCTAAGAGGATAACTCTAAAAAAGAATCATACTCACCCCATCATTACAGCCAAGAGAAAAGTAAAGACCGGGATGGATGGTTGAATGGCAGCAGCATAAGTTGGATTTGTGTATGTAAGACCGATAAGAAATAACAATTGGTTCCCAAATACCCTATCAAAATTGAGATCAACCAAGATGTTTAATCTTCATAAACATGAATACAAGATACTTAGACCGGATAGAGATGATTTCTTACCCTGCTAAGCCCAGAAAGAAGAATGACAAGAGAAGGCTTTTATTCATTGGAGTTCTGATCCTTCTACATACATGAACGACGAACACGGTTCATTGATTAGATTTTGAAAACTTGAGAACATTCAAAGTGGTCTCGCATAAACTTGACGCATTACAACCTCCCACACCATTCTTTCATTTACTGATAGAACTAGACAAGCCTAGCTCGAGAAACCAGATCCTAGTTCAAATGTACTTATCTCGTAAAACCCCGAAGAAGAGACATGGAACTCAGAGAACATGGTAACTAAATCTACTAACAGTGGAAGCAAAACGGAACACAAATCTCAACTTAAATCTACACACATTGCTCCAAATCTGAAATCTAGTTCTTCTACTATGAAGATGACATTGACTTTTAATACCCAGAAGAACTTATACAAATTCATCAGAGAGAAACGCTAAATCAAAATCCAAAAATCCATACTAATGGATCAAGCAATAACAAGGGGGCTGTATAGTTCTCACTTCATATAAACCCACAAATCGATCATAAAACCAGGAAACCATTCTCGAGAGCGTAACTCAGAACTAAAAACAGAGGAAACAAATGAAGTTGAAAAAGATGATACCTTTCGCGGAAGTAAGCAAGAGGAGCGAGAATAGAGAGAGCAAGAAGATCACGGCATACACAGAAGACAAGCTGGTTGACTCCAACGTTGAGAGCTACTTTTGTAATCACATGGTATCCGCCATTAAAGAGCTGAACAAACGCCATGGCAGTGTGCGCCATCCGAGCGTCTCTCTCCGCCGCCGATCCGCCTCCGCTCAGGATCATCGGCGCCGTCATCTTTCCGATTTACTCGGCCCGTCTCACTACTCTCTCTCTGACTTGTTATAAGTTATAGATGAAGCGAAGACCAAAAAAGTGAGATCCTTTAGATGAAGCGAAGACCAAAAAAGTGAGATCCTTTACTTCGTCAGCAACGAATCTCCTTCTTCTATTTGTCGAGTCTTTTCTATAGGTTCTGTGCAAAATTTCTTCAATTTTTATACAATTTTATGAGATTTTTTTCTATTTTCTTTCAAATCGATCTACTTTGATTTGAGCCTGTACCATTCTAGATATTTTATATTCGTGTATTATTAAATTTGGTTATGGCAATAGGCTGCCTAATTTAGAGGGTGTTATTGATTTGTGATTTAAATAGAGTTTTGATGACTTTAATAAAATCATAGAAAGTGAATAAGTGAATGATTTAGAAGAATTGTTAGAGAGTTTTCTATAGTTCTGTTGATTAGTTTTTCTATAATCTTGTAGAGTCTCCCAAACAATCTCAATATTTCAGCATACTTTTCATGACTTTATTTTGTAAAGAAAAGTATTTAAAATCATAAACCAATAACACAATAATTGAATTCATTAACAATTATAGATTGTCATAGATTGTTTTGTTTTAGTTGAATAACACAAAACTTTTAATGACTTTATAAAACTCTTAATCCAATAACATAATATTCATTAAGATTTTAAATGACTTTTTACAAATCACAAACTAATAACACCAAACTTTAAGAGAGTTTAACAAAATCTTGATTGAATAACAACAGATTCTACATAACAATTAAAGTCATTAAAACTCTATTTAAATCACAAACCAATAACACCCCCTTAGGCATATCAATCAATTCCGCATAATTTTTTGATCATCTCAAATTTTATTATTGAAATTTGTCTCTGAACCAAGATAAAATACAAATCTCAAACAATGAAAATTAAACCGACGTACGAAAGAAGAATTATCGAAAACTAAACTAGAGGAAAACGTGTGTATTCCCCAAAAACTAAGCTCTATATAAGAGAAGCATGAATATTGTCAATTGTCAAAAAAAAATATATAAGAGAAACATGAATACATTACAAAACAGAAATTTTAAAGCTGAAATTGAGAAATTGAAACCAAAAATTAAGGAAGTACACAAATTTAAACCCGAAGAAAAATACTTGACACAATCATTAAAGAAGATCCTTTCTTTCAAAGAAACTGTGAATGTTATTTACCAATACTGTCCACAGCCAACCAATCGATAATATTTCTTTTTTCCTATAACAACGAGGGATGATCTCTCGAAACCAAGTAACCAAGACTTCATAACCCAACAAGTAATGGCCAAAACTGAACCTCATATAAAACTTCTGGATGCGGCAGAGACGATTGGTATAATAAAATTAAATTTTCGGACAATAATAATAAATTTTGAATTTTCATATATATATATATATATATATATATATTTGAATAATCATTTGACTGAAAATATAATTAAAGTTTACAAATAAACAAAAGAAATAATTAATCACAATTGCAAAATATACAGGGTAAATTAAATGTTTTTTTTAAATACAAAAGTTTACAAATTGAAATTCTAAAGAAGCGGAAGGAGTAATTAAATTATTACGAAGAGTATTTAAATAACCAAAAAGCCCAACATCGGAGGGGAAAGCGTCAGTTATGCCACAAATTCAGAAAAAATGATCTCGCCTGCCATTCATTAATCTGAATGCCACTCATAATATGAAATTCCTCAATTACCTTTAATGAAATATATCAATATATTTAATTCAAAACAAAGTAAAACAAGAATATATATATATATATATATATATATATATATATATATATATATATATATATATATATATATATATATAAATTAAAGTGGTCCCACATATAATAAAGTCGGCCTGACACGATAAAATATTAATAAAATTTATGTATTATAATTACAGTTGCACGTACGTTTATCTTCATAGTTGTACTTTGACGATTTTTACGTATTTGTAGTTGTACCTTAATATAAATTTTTATGTTGTAGTTGACCACGAGATTTTCTACTTTTAGTTATCATTTAGAAGGTTTTAGTAATACTATTTTCACGAAATCATGGTTTTTTCCTTTTTGGCATTATAAGAGAAAGACATCTCTTCTTTGCTCCGTTCTGCTTCTCCTCATAAACCCGAGCTCAGCTCGCCCGCCTATCTCGCTGGTCGTCACTTCTTCTGATCAGATTAGAATCAGACATATGATGAATAGTATAACTAAAAAATAATAGGACAACTGGTACAAATGATACAACTGTAACATTTTGTGTAATTCGTAATTATGTTTTATTTTATTTTATTTTAATGAAACAATGAGGATACCAAACGTATCTTGAAATGTAAAAAAACAAATTTAAATCAATAAAATATAAATTTATAATTTTTTTAATACATATTCTTGTTTTCACATAAAACACTTCTTATATTGTAAGGAAGACTTTGTAAGTGGTCCCTCTCTATAATACAAAAGTTGTGAAAACTATGATTTTGTGCAAATTTTACTATGAAAACCTCATAAATGATAATTAATGGAAAAAAATTATAAGACCAACTACAACATAATAATGTATATCTAGGTCCAACTAAAAATACGCAAAAATTATCAAAGTACAACTATGTGGATGAACGTACAACTGTACATATAGGGACAACTATGATTATAACACACAATATTTTATTAATATCCCGCCGCCAAAGATATTAATAAGTTGTGAAAACTATGATTTTGTGCAAATTGTACTATGAAAACCTCATAAATGATAATTAATGGAAAAAAATTATTTGACCAACTACAACATAATAATGTATATCTAGGTCCAACTAAAAATACGCAAAAATTATCAAAGTACAACTATGTGGATGAACGTACAACTGTAAATATAGGGACAACTATGATTATAACACACAATATTGTATTAATATCCCGCCGCCAAAAATCCGCTTTACCACACGTGGGATCTCTTTGGATACTTTTCAAAAGTTAAAAATTTTTGAAATTTCTCTTAATTCCTCTATTTTTTTTTTTAGTTTTTCGGTGGAGATTTATAATCCAATTTTATTTTATTTTTGCAATTTTTTTACACACGTAGTTATACTTAAATGTACCAATTGGACCAAAAATCATTACTTTCTTGTATGTAACCTAGAAACGTAGTTGTACCTAGATATACCAATTGTATCTACAAAACTAGTTGCATACATGAAAGTTATTTTAGTAAATACGCTTGACTTGTGACTATTATTGATCTCTGTTTTAGTTCTGAGAATGGAGGTTTCGATCTTTGTATAAATCGTTCATTTTGGTTTTCAAGAGTCTTTCTTCATCACTTGTGGGAGCCAATTCTCTGTTTTTTAATGATCTCTTCACGGCCTTGGCTTCAAGAGCGGCTGAGTTTGCTAATCCGTGAAGCAAAAGTTTCATAAAACGCAACAATGTACTGAATCACCATCCCGCTATCTCTTCCACGACTACAACTTATCTAAACGATTGGGGCTCATTGGACGGGAAAACTGACCGGAGCGTCCAAGGTGACGAGGTACAAAAGCTCAGAAAAATCCACTTCGTTTTGTTTCAAAGCCTTTGATATGAAATCAAAACGAAGAGAATAAACTCAAAGAGCTAAATATCTCTTGGGTAGAGCCGCTGGTGAAAGAACCACGACAAGAATAGCTCCGGCGTAGCGAATTCGAAGGACTCAAGGATGGGATCAAGCTAGAGACTGTTGCTGAGCATGAGATCTATAGCGCGTTCAGAGAAAGGGAGACATAGGTGGAGTTGAGAGAATCATGGATTTAGACGTAGAAACCTTGATTTGGCCATAGATCGGAGCTGGCGAGAGCTGGTATGATTCCGATGATTTGGAGTAATGTGGATCTGTGTTCGGAAGCGGGATGTGTGCCGAAGTTTATACATTGAAGGAGTTTTAGTAAGATTTGTGTGTTTAAAGAATATAGAAAATTTTTGACAATAAAAAAAAAAAAGAGAAAAAAACACAGAGAAGAAGAAGAGAAGAATACGTGCCTTGCTATTTTTAAGTTTTAAATTTATTTAAGTAGATAAAAGATGTGAATGGATTTAGATCTGGGTGGTTGACCCATATTTTAGTTGGTTTGGGTCGATAATCCAAAAAAGGATGGTTGGGTCAGTAATTATTGGAACTTATCAAGGGTTTCAAAGTATTTTTGCTACCTTTTCGATAGAAAGAAAAAGAAAAAAGAAATAACTTTTATAACGGTGGCATAAGCGAACACTTTTTTTCACATCGGAGGCATTGGGTAATTTTCACATCGGGACATGGACGGCGAAGGGGAAGGAAGCGGAATACGGCTGAGCAAGAGATTCGCCGGCGGGAAGGTCACCGGCGGTAGCTTAGAAGTTGATTACAAGACCAAATCCGGTACCGCTTGGAGCCACTCTTTCCTGAACCAGAAGCCATGGCATCCGCTTTCTTATCCCAATCAGCGCCGCAAATGGATCGCCGAGCAGACTCATGCCCAACACGATCGCAGAGCCGAAGAAGTGGCCCGCGAGGTACATCATCGCACATGCTCTCCATTTTCTCTTAATTGATTCAATTCGTGTTTTTCTTACTTCCTTTTTTTCTGGATTTACAGTTTGCGCAAGAGCAGGAATTCTTCAAGCAAGCAGCTCTCATCTCCAAGAAAGAAAGAGAGAAGGTTAGTTCTTTTCTCAGCCAGATTAGGGTTTATGTTATTCAGATCTTGCTTTGAGCTCTAATTCTCTGTACAACTTCGTTCACTAGTGCCCTAATGCTTCAGATTAGTGTTTCTGTATTCTGATGAGGATAGTTTCGGATATTTAGACTGAATTGTAATATCCACTTGTTGCTGACTCTCATCAATCACAATCCTTTTGAAATATTGTCTTAACTCTTGGAACTCTTTTGATCCTGAGGTAGATGTCAAAACCTATACAATTATTGAAATTTGGTGAAACTAGCGATTTTACTTAGTTTTGTGTTACATGATATTGACCCTGAGAGTAATGGGCAGATCGAAACGATGAAAGCTGTGAGCTTTATGTATGTTCGTCCACCTGGCTATGATCCTGAAAGTGCCAAAGCAGCAGAATACGCGGATGATAAACACAAGGGTCAGGGTTCTTCAACTCAGGATCCAATGGCGGAAGACAATGTTGGTTCTAGGTATGTTGACAGAAACAGATATTTGGTTTGACAGATTATTGCTAGGATGATATTAAGTTAATTCCTTGTGGGGGAAATTTGACAAGAATTTGTTTTCTCTCTGGCGCAATGCAGACCAGAAGAATCACAAGGCGGGGGAGACCGCACAGGTCAGGAAAGGAAGAAACCACGACCCAAAGATGTGTTTGGGCGTGCTCTTCCTACTGAAGAAGAATTTGAGGTCCTTAAAAATGCACCAAGGTATTGCCATATTTTTTTACTCTTGCAATTATGTTAATCATTAAGTAATCATTAAGTGCTCCAGTGTCATTGTGGAAATATTGCAACATGTAAATGAAATTTTTCTCATCACATACTATGATTGGAATTGTGCAGGATGGAGACTGGTATTCCTGGGCGAGTAAAGCCATTTGCAGTTGAAGTGCGTAATGTGAAATGTCTGAGATGTGGAAACTTTGGGCATCAAAGCGGTGATCGTGACTGTCCATTAAAGGATGCAGTAATGCCAAATGAAGAACTTCGATTGAAAAGAGATGATCCGTTGACTGCTATCATTGCACATACAGATCCCAGTGAGGTTGGTTTTAATTTCTCTTAATTCCCCATCTTTCAGAATCTTTCGTTAATTAGTTGGCTTAGGTATGGACAACTGAAGGTTCAATGGTTTATGTATCATTAACCGGAAATGCTCTCTAACTTTTTGCAGCCTCTGAAGTGGGAGTTGAAACAAAAGTCCGGCTTGAGTCCTCCTCGTGGTGGTTTTGATCCTGATGATCCAAATCAACAAATCGTCGCTGAAGATATATTTGATGAATATGGAGGTGAATTTCTTAATTCAGAAAGGTTTTTCTTTTCACAAATCCCATCTCATTTTTTATATTGTTACTTAATGTCAATTTCTTTTGATATCTCAGGGTTCCTTGAGGGCAGCATCCCAATCGAATTACTGAAGAGTATGTCGTCGGATAAGAAAAGAAAATCCAAAAAGAACAAAAAGCACAAGAAGCATTCATCTCGGACTATTGAGGAAACTGATGAATCTTCAACAGGCTCAGAAGATAGTAGAGAGAAGAGGGGATCGAAGAAGCGCAAGAAACTTAAGAACAAGAGCAAGAAGCATTATGATTCTGACTCAGTCTCCTCTGAAGGTTCAGACTCTGACAGTTACCGTCTGAGTAGGAGAAGACACACCAAGCATGTAGATCCGTCTGCAACATTAAAATCTGAGGTTTACCACCAAGGGAACATTCACAGAGAAAAGCATTACGATGACGAGAAGCACCAGAAACGGAAGGAAATCGTGGATAGACCATCTGCTTCATCCGATGATTCAGATTATTATAGAAGTCATAGTAGTAGAAAGAAAAGATCAGAAGATGATTACAAAAGCCATCACAGGGAGAGAAAGCAAGTGCATAGTAACGATCCTGTTTCAGAGAAAAGTCAGAAACAGTATTATTCAGAGTCTGGAAAGCGTCATAGAGTCGAGAAAGAGCATAGATATGATGAGAGAAGACACAGATACGTCGATATGGAGTCTGAAAATCGTCATAGATCCGAGAGGAAACCGAGATATGATGATCGTGATTCTGAGAGGCATCACAGGAGTGTGAAGGGGAAAGAAAAGCATGTGTATGAAGATCCTGAAGAGTTTTCTGACAGATACAGAAGCAAGAAGAATGCAGAATCTGATTCGGAATCAAACCGTAGAAGTAGAAAGAAGCTGCAGAAGCATGAGTTATCATCGGAAGAAGAATCTCGTAAGTATCGATACAGCACTAACAGAAGGAGAAAGTGAGTCTATGCTATGTCAATTGTCCTGTACCAAGAGTCATGGTTCCGGTCTGAATGAGATTGCGAGATATGTACGATTGGTTTTTTTGTCGTTGTATATTTTGGTCTTTTTGAAGCTTAAATGAGCCTATGACTGTTTATAATTTGATCACGTGACAAGCCAGTTAGCCACGTGGGAGCAATAAAGCCAAAAAACGATTAACAACGAATAAACGGTGCGTTTTATAATTGTTGCTTTCCCGCCGGAGTCATTTGGAGACAAAGGGAGAGAGAATCCATGTCCTTGATTCACCGACGGTTAAAGTGTTTTCCTGGATTGTCGTCTGTTAATGCTTGGAACTTTCAAGTACGTGAAGCGGTTAATCGAAATGATCCGGTGGAATCACTTCTTCTGTTTCGAGAAATGAAGCGTGGAGGCTTTGAACCGAACAACTTTACTTTTCCATTTGTGGCGAAGGCGTGTGCTAGGCTCGCTTATATTGGGTACTGTGAGATGGTTCATACCCATTTGATAAAGTCTCCGTTTTGGTCTGATGTTTTCGTTGGGACAGCGACGGTTGATATGTTTGTAAAATGTGATTCTCTGGATTATGCCGCCAAGGTGTTTGAGAGAATGCCTGTGAGAGATGCTACCACTTGGAACGCAATGCTATCTGGATTCTGTCAGTCGGGTCACACGGATAAGGTGTTTTCATTATTTCGTGAAATGAGGCTCGACGAGATCCCACCTGATTCTGTGACTGTTATGACCTTGATTCAATCTGCATCGTTTGAAAAAAGTTTGAAGCTTTTGAAGGTCATGCATGCTTTTGGGATACGTTTAGGTGTAGATTTACAAGCTACAGTTTCCAATACTTGGATTTCTGCTTATGGGAAATGTGGTGATTTGGATTCAGCAAAGTTAGTTTTCGAAGCTATTGACAGAGGTGACAGAACTGTTGTGTCTTGGAACTCTGTGTTCAAAGCATTTGCAGTTTTTGGTGAAGCATTTGATGCTTTTGGTCACTACCGGTTAATGCTGCGTGATGAGTTTAAGCCGGATTTGAGCACCTTTATTAACTTGGCTGCATCGTGTCAAAACCCTCAAACACTAACCCAAGGAAGATTGATTCATTCTCATGCAATCCATCTCGGTACAGATCAAGATATCGAAGCGATTAATACCTTCATTTCTATGTATTCGAAATCCGGGGATTCCTGTTCAGCGAGGCTTTTGTTTGACATAATGCCTTCCAGAACATGTGTTTCTTGGACTGTGATGATAAGTGGGTATGCCGAGAAAGGGGATATGGATGAAGCTTTGGCCTTATTTCATGCCATGGCCAAAACTGGAGTGAATCCAGATTTAGTTACCTTACTCTCCCTCATTTCAGGTTGTGGAAAATTTGGTTCACTGGAGATTGGAAAATGGATCGATGGTAGAGCAGATATGTACGGTTGCAAGAAAGATAATGTCATGGTTTGCAATGCTCTTATTGATATGTACTCAAAATGTGGAAGTATAGACGAAGCTCGAGACATCTTCGATAACACGTCTGAGAAAACTATGGTCACATGGACTACAATGATAGCTGGATATGCTTTGAACGGAATCTTCCTAGAAGCTATGGAACTTTTCAGCAAGATGATAGATTTGGATTATAAACCAAACCACATAACATTCCTTGCCGTCCTTCAAGCTTGTGCTCATTCGGGTTCTCTAGAAAAAGGTTGGGAGTATTTCCACATCATGAAACAAGTATACAACATCAGTCCTGGACTAGACCATTACTCTTGTATGGTAGATCTTCTTGGAAGAAAAGGAAAGCTCGACGAAGCATTAGAACTCATCCATAACATGTCAGCTAAACCCGATGCTGGCATATGGGGTGCATTGCTTAGTGCCTGCAAGATCCACCGTAATGTAAAGATAGCTGAGCAAGCGGCTGACAGTCTCTTTAACTTGGAACCGCAAATGGCAGCACCTTATGTAGAAATGTCAAACATATATGCAGCTGCTGGTATGTGGGATGGTTTTGCGAGGATCAGATCAATGATGAAACTCTGGAACATTAAGAAGTATCCAGGTGAAAGCGTGATTCAAGTGAACGGAAAAAATCACACTTTCACTGTAGGAGAACGTGGTCATATGGAGAATGAAGCCATATACTCTACGCTGAATGGTTTGAGTTTGTTTGCGAGAGATGAAAAACAAATATTGCATAAAGATGTGTACAAAGAACAGAGTTATAAAGTTTTCATTTGATGACAATGACTTTTTAGTGGATTTGTTGTTATTATTACTTTTAGGATATAGTTTTGTGATGGGAGTTATCAACACTCCTTGTTTGAATAATTAATATTACAAGATATAAAGTAAAAGTTAATTATGATTTGTGGAGGACCAGATTCTATTGGCATTTCTTTATTTTATTCACCACCAATATTTTTTGGAATTTATCAAATTAAAAGGATGAAGACTTTATAGACACTTTAAATAATTACATTACAGAAAAAGATATTTTTCCTTAATCATGTTCTTAAAACTCCGTGTCCATTGCGCGTTCCCACGTCGTAGATATTTTCTTTACTACGATACGCTTCACCTTTTAATTTTTCATATTTTCATTGAAACCCCAATACTTTTATAAGGTTTTTAAACACCCACTATAGTCACAATATCCATACAAACACCTATTTTTCAATGCATCATAAGTTCACAATACTCATTAAGAGATCAAATAATTGTATTGAAGCTTATATTGTGACTGTTTATTGTATCTGGAGTTTAGACACGATTGAAGTTCTGAAGACTAGAGTGCTTAACATATGATTTTCATAATAATACGAGGACTAGAAAACAATAAAATATAAAATAGGCAAAAATGCTTATTCAAAAATGGTAAACGCGTTAAGTAATTAATATTTGGAAACAAGCCTATCCATCCATATATATCCCTCTCTTCTCCATTTAAGCTTTTGTTCTTCTGTTCCAATTCATTCTCTAACATTCTTCGCAAATTCGTATCGGTAAATTTTCCTTTCGATCGCACTTTTATCTTTGAATCTTACGTATTAACCGTGATCGATCGAAGCATATGTAGTTATGTGCTTTGTTTTTCTCTATTTCTCTGGATTCGTATGATCGAATTGCTGAATATGGTCTCTGATATTTTTGTATGTGGATCCATTTTTTGTGTTATATCTTTAACGTGTATGATTGTTGTGATCAGTGAGAATTATGTCTCAGATTTGTTTTGAAACGACCAAGTCAAATGTTAAGTTTGCTTGATCTTTGACCATGGTGATGATGTATCTAAATCTTGCAGGTTTTAAGTGAAAAACAATGGGAGGTGGTAAAGACAAGCATCATGATGAGCATGACAAAGGGTTTCATGGTTTTCCAGGAGGAGGACATCATTACCCACCTGCTCAAGGAGGGTATCCTCCACAAGGTTACCCACCACAAGGGTATCCTCCAGCTGGAGGCTATCCGCCTGCTGGATATCCTCCTGGTGCATACCCTGCTGCACCCGGTGGTTATCCTCCTGCTGGCTATCCTGCACCTGGAGCTCACCATTCAGGTATTATCCCGTTAAAGTGCTCTTCTTTGTAGTTTTGGTATCATGATGCTGTTAATAGGAAAATGGTTTGTAAATGTTGATGGTTTCTATGCAAGAGCTATGGAGTGTACTTTGTAGCTTGTTTGGATTATCAACCTGCTAAATATTGTTAAGTTTGAATGGTAATAGAACAAGAGTTTGTAAATGTTTCTGTTTTCTGTGCAAAAGCTAAGGATTTTTCTTCAAGTTTTCTGGATTGTCATCCTTTGGGAATACTGTGTCAGTTTGAATGATAATAGGGAAATAGTTTGTAAGTGTTGTTGTTTTCTATATAAAAGCTAAGAACTGGCCTTGTAGTTTGCTAGATTACCAGCCTGCTACGTTTTGTCAAGTTTAAATGATAACAGGACAGTAGTTTCTTAATTGTTCCTGTTTTTTGTGGGAAAGATACGGACAAATGAGTTTAGTATTCTTTTTTTGTGCTCCATTGGTGTTTATTGGTCTAAATATTGAACCTTTTAGGTGTTTTTGAAGTGGCATTCAGATAACATTGATGTTTTAACCTTAACTATCTAGTACAAGTACATTTTAATTCGATAGCAATTATCATATGAACAACTTTGTGGTCTCTTTGATCCGTTCTGGTAATTTGGGGTTCTCCATGTAATACTTTTTTGTTTTTTAATCAGGACATTCTAGTGGTGGAATCGGAGGCATGATAGCAGGGGCTGCAGCAGCCTATGGAGCTCACCATGTTGGTCATGCCTCTCACAACCCTTACGGGCATGCTGTAGGACATGGAGGGTATGGCCATGGCCCTGCTCATGGCTTTGGTGGTCATGGTCATGGTAAGTTCAAGCATGGAAAGCATGGAGGCAAATTCAAGCACGGAAAGCATGGAAAGCATGGCAAGCACGGGAAACATGGTATGTTTGGAGGAGGAGGCAAATTCAAGAAGTGGAAGTAATCTCAAAAAACCCCTTTGATCCTCTCCTCCAGTATAGTCTCATTACCTGACCGATGTTTCTAATAATCTCCCTTCAAAACATATTACATTTTAACTATGTCGGTTTAGAGATTGCTGGTTCGAGAGAGTGCTAGTATAAATCTTATGGTCTCTGCAGAAGAGGTTTCTTTAATCTCTCAATAGCAGATTCTTTGAAACTTATCTATAAATTTGGTATTGTAATGACAGTTTGTGTTTGCTTTTTCTCTCTCCCTCTCTCTCTCTTTTTCAATATCTCTTCTGTTTGATAATCTGATGTTGGTGGAGTTCTCAAAAATATTTATGCTATTGTAGATACTGACCTTGAATCTTGTTCTTCTTCGTTTTCTTGCCTTTATTTTTGATTTGGTCCTGTGAACTCCAAAGTGCTTCAAGGTTGTCTTCTGTACTTGATAAGTTTATAGGAAAGCATATATAAAATTTAATCACACTCTATGAAATAACGAGACAATGACTCGAGGTCGTGCAAGAATAGTTTGTTGTTCTCTGATTAGGGATTCGCTTTTACAGAGAACAAGTTCTGATTTTTTTTTTAATTTAGCATCTGAAATAATTTTGATTTTTGAATAGTTGACATGAAATAATATTTGTTAACACAAATGAACAGATAAACTAAACAAACAAACTTTCCTTAAGAGGCCTACCTAAAAAAAAAAAAAATACTTTCCTTTGAGAGTAAAGAAACTATATTTTGGAAGACAATTTTTACAAGTTTCTCCTTCGAAACTAGAAAGTTCATAACGACAAAACAAATTCAATTTATTACACAAGTGAAGGGCTTTCGGACAAGTTGCTATGCTCAGACCAGTGTTTTTAAACCCGATCCGGACGGTGAACCGGACTACCTTCTGGGTTACCGGGTCACTGGGTCAACCGGGTTCGACCACGGGTCAATTGATTAAAATTTAATTAATATATTTAATATTCATAGAGAATATATAGTTTTTATGAATATAAAAATAAAAATATTCATACTATATTTACAAAATATGAAGTCTAACAATAATAATAAAGTAATTCAAATTAAATTTTTAAATCCAACTAAAAGTCTAAAATTGTAACAAATATTAAAATAGTAGGAGATCGCCAATAACAGAAATAAACTAATAAAACATCACGAATTCAAAACAACTAATATCGGTTATTTCTCTCACCATTTCATTTATTCTCCTTAAACGGTACTGTCATGTTTCATCAAAATCTAAAACATCAAATGAGTCTAAGAACTACAAAAGAGTTCTAAAAATAATTGAATAGAGTCTAAAACTCTAAATTTTATTCCAAAATCAAATGATATTTTTAAAACCCATACCCAGCCGGTTCAACCGGTTCACTGGGTCGCGGGTTAATGGCAGGATTTTGTGGGTTTTTCCGGTTTTAAAATTGGCGGGTATTAGCATTAAACTCAAACCGGAAAAGTATTCGGGTCGTGGGTTAACCGGTCGGACCGGGCGGTCCGGGTCGGGCATGAAAACACTGGCTCATACCAAACTGTGACCGACCCAAGCCCAATAAAAAGCGAATCGGGTCAAACGAAAACAGAGTAATTCAGAAAACCCTAAATTTGCTTCTTTTTTGTTGTCTTTCTTCATTTTGCGCAAAGCATAACTATCAAGTGCGTGTGCTCTCCGCTGGTTCCTTAAAAGAATCGGCACACGCTTTTTCATTTCAATCTTCCTCTACGAATCTCTCAATCATCTCAGGTACTACTAATCTCAATTTCCCTTTTTCTCCTCCATGGAGATTTAGATTTCAAGTCAGATGATGTTTTATATGTAACCGATTTTGAATTTTTTTGGGGCTTATCGGTGTTTGCTTCCCGATTGATTCACAGCTGATTTCTACATCTGGGATTGTATTGAGCCATCGATATACCTTCAAAACTTCTATAATTTGTATTGAAAGTGTTTGGATTTGTTGTTTTCTATCTCTCGATTGTTTTGATTTCTGGGCAAAAGTGTCAACCTTTCTACTATTTTCTTAGTTACACCGTATGGGCAAGAAAAAAGGACACAAAAGTTGGTGCTAATGATTCCCATTTATGTCTTTCGTTACCATGCAGCATCTGAACATCACATTCAGACGGGATCCCACTAATTTCAGACCAAGAATCAACAAATTGGAGTCGACCAAAGACAGGGAGCAAAAGTCTGCAGGCTCATACTACTACTTGGATGATTAGGACAACTACCACGAGGTTCTTGATCTCTAAAATCCAATCATGTTTTCTCAATCATACAACGTTTTATGGAACCAATATCTAAAATGTTTGTTTTCTCTTAATTTCCTCTATGGATTCACAGAATACAAGGGCATGAGCTGGATAAAACATTGTTCGAATTCCAGAAGGGCTTTTGCTTATAGCAAGATCTATGAACTCAGGATATTTTACGCAGCCATCTGTTTTCCGAGTGCATTTAGCAGATGTTTCTTTCTGGTCAAGCTTTTGATTGTTGTTTCATCAGTTTTGCTTCTTCGTATTTTTTTCCCACATCTTTTATTAACTGAGCAATAAAAGTTTCAGAATCTGTAACTTTTTTCTTTTTGGCTTTGTACTTCCCGAGTTGATGATTTCAACATTTACTGTAATGTTATTACTTTGGATTTTACAATGAATCTATTGCTTCTTGCTATCTTATTTTCTATCTTGTACAGAGTTAAATAGCCTCTAACCTTAGTCACTGATATAGGAAAACTTCAAGAAACACTATCCAACACTAACGTCAATAACACTGTAACCAGGTAGCTTCTTCAATGCATTATCCTCCACAATCTTCCGTAGCCGTACAGCTTCATCCCAACCACCCAACCCAACATAAGTATTCGCCAACGAGATGTAATAAGATGCGTTGTCTGGTTCCATTTCAAACAAAACTTCTGCAACTTCTGTTCCCAACTTTGTATCCCCATGATAGTTACAAGCGCTCAACAAAGCTCCCCACACACCTGCTTTTTGTGGCTCACCAATCCCTATGATGAACTCATAAGCTTCTTTCAGCTTCCCTGCCCGGCCAAGCATGTCAACAATGCAAACCCGATGCTCGGTAACTGGTTTAACCCCAAATTTTTCCTCCATTTGGTTGTAATATCTTAGACCTTCATTTATAAACCCAGAGTGGCTACAAGCTGACAATAGGCTTATGAAAGTGCTCTTGTTTGGCTCCATCCCTGAGTTACCACTACTCATTTCCTTGAATAGCTCCATTGCCTTCTCTCCCATTCCATGGAATCCATATGCAGAGATAACTGAGTTCCAAGCAGAAATTGATTTCACCCCCGAGTTTCTAAACACCTTCATGCCAGTTTCTAGCATCCCGCAGCTACTGTACATATCCACTAGTGCTGCACTGACAAAAGGGTTAGCTTGAAACCCACGACGAATGAGATGACAGTGTGCCTGCATACCATAGCTTGTTGACCCAAGCTGAGTCGAGGCAGACAGAAGACCAACAAATGTGATCTCGTTTGGCTCTAACTTGAGGTTTCTGAAGAGTTGAAACACTTCGCGTCCAGCTTTGTTCTGAGATAAAGCTGATATCACACAGTTCCAGGAACACAAGTTAGGGTCAGAGATCAAGCCAAAAACCTTCACTGCACTCTCAGTGTCTTTACATCTACCATACATGGTGATCAACGTATTCTGCAGTTGGGTGTCAAGTTCTCTCAGACTTTTAATAGCTAGACCATGAAGGCACCTTCCTTGTAAGACCAGTCTGAGGTTTCCACTAGCTGAAATAGTACCCAGAAGAGTAATCAGGTCATGACGAATTTTCCCTTCACGACTCATTGCTTGAAACGCTCTCAATGATTCTAAATGGTGACCACTTGATGCGCAGCCATAGATAACAGAGTTCCAAGATGTGAGATCCCTTGTTTCGAATATCATCTCTAACAGAAGAAATGCTGAAGTTAGGTCCCTGCAACCGATGTACATGTTTATTACTGAATTAGCTGAAAGGATATTATCCCCAAACCCTAGCTTTTGCAGCCAACAGTGGACTGATTTTCCAAAAATGAGAGAATCAGAGGAATCACAAGACGTAAGAATTGCCAACACAGTCGACAAGCTAAACTTTGAACAAGTATACTCACTGACAACTTCCCTGAACAGATTCTTAGCTTCTTGTGTAAACCCGTTTTGCGCAAAAGCAGATATCATCGAGTTCCACGAAACCAAGTCTCGATGTGTTGTGGTCTTGAACAAAAACTCAGCCTGAGTTGTTAAGCCACATTTACCGTACATATCAATAACGCTGTTTATTACCTCTAATGCTCTGGATTGCATCTCCCTGCGAACCGTATACCCATGAATTGCTCTTCCCTCTCGTGACAAACAAAAATCACCACATATGGAAGTTATTGAAACCACGGTGGAGATATCAGGCTGAATCTTATCCACCGACTGCATTTCCTTCAAAATACCAAATGCTTCCTCAAACATTCCATTTGCAGAAAGCCCATTAAGGATTGCATTCCAAGAAATAACATCCTTGCACAATAATTCTTCAAACACAGTTTCCGCAGCCTCGATGTCCCCACATTTTGAGTACATCGAAATGATCGAGTTGGCCACAGAGACATGAGCTTCTGGACTATAACCTGATTTTATAACCAACCCGTGGAGGGATTCACCCAAAGGAAGTTCTTCAAGACAAGAGCAAGCTGATATAACGCATGAAAAAGTCACATTATCAGCTTCTTGTCCTGAACCAATCATCGACTTGAAATATATCAGCGAATTCCTGGGATACCCATTTGCAAGACATTTAGTCATGATCGTGTTCCAAGAAACAATGTCTCGGTGCTCCATATGCGTGAACACGCACTCTGCGGAGCTCAAGTCCTCGCCTTTTGCATATAGATTCATCAATGCATTGCACAAGCTAGAATCCGAAACCAAACCAGTCTCTATTGCCAAACAATGAACCATTGGACATTTCTTTGAAAGATGTAAACTAGATAACGCCGAAACTGCAAGTAAAAGCGTGGTCGAATCAAACTCATTCCCCTTATGAATCATCTCAACGAACAATCCAACAGCTGCAATGTAACGACCATTTTGATTCAAACAAGTGATCATACTGTTCCAAACAATCACATCTTTCTCTTTCAGTTCACCAAACAGACCCAAAGAAGACACCAAGTCCCCGGTTCTACCGTAAATCGTTAGAAGCTTTGAAGATGTAGCTAAATCTTGGAGGAAACCACACTTCAGAGCGAAACAATGGATACTCCTCGGAGTCTCTGTCTCTATTCTCATCATAAAGGATCTAAGTACATCTCGCAAGAACATAAAACTAGCCTCCACAG